CAAAAGCATATCCTGTTGTTTTAAAAAGGCTCTTGCAATTTGGGAACATTGTGCTTCTTTTGTCAATGGTATGGCTGGACTGTACTCTCAGAGGCATGGATTCCTTTTTACGGCTGGGGACAACATCCTTTTTTTCTGTCATTTGGTGTAGTATTCTGTCAGTTATTGCAATGGTTGGAATATCCAAAATTCTTATCATCCTGGTAAGCTTGGTTTATGCTTTCATCTAGACACTTGTTAGAATCCTTCCTATGCATCTTTATACCTATTCCTTTTAAAACCAAACCAGTCAATTGCTGTTAAATTTGTTAAGTTGTTAGTTTCTTTCTGTTATATTTTTAAAAGCCTTAAATTCTTAGTCCATTGTCATATTCTCTTTGTAATGTTGTAATTGTATGGAATTTTGCATCACTTTGTTGCTGAATGTTGCATTGTTGCAATTCCCTGCTACCTCCTCAAGGTGTTTTCCATTGTCATTTTTTTCAGTTTAACTGTCATTTATATGCATGGTTGTGATCTGTTTCAAATGTTGAATTACTCAGGCCATAGCTGCATTTGTGGGGGTTTTCATAGGTCTCATCCTTGGACTTTTGATAGTTGCCATTTCTGGACTTGTTTTCCTGTGGTTTTATGGAAGCTTCTGGACAACAGTATTTGTTATTATCATCAGCGGTAATTTCTTTTTCCCTTTGTTGACATTGAGCACCTCATTGTCTGGATATATTTGTCGAAGCATATTGAGTTTTATTTCCATTATCATCCAGGCTTGGCATTCATGTTCAGCCAGGAACGTCTCACTCTTTTGATCATCACTATATATTCCACATACTGTGTGTGGTCATATGCTGGATGGATTGGTTTACTTTTGGCTTTGAATCTATCATTTTTCTCAAGTGATATTCTGATATACATCCTAAAGAATAACATCAACCGACAGAGAAGATCTGGTAGAACCTCTGAACATTCTGCAGGAATGGAAGGTCGTCCAGGCTTCTTCAACGAGGACTCCTTTCATGCTTCATCCTTTGAGACTGGCCCGGGTTTTTCAGCAGATCGTAGCCCGGGAGTACCTTCAACCAGTGGGGCTGATTCCGAGTTGACTTCCGAAGAGGAAGTTGTTCGGTTATTGAACTGTACCGATCACTACTCTGCATTGGGTTTGTCCCGATACGAAAACATGGATGTTTCTGTTTTGAAGAGAGAGTATAGGAAGAAGGTAATGCCATTATTTGTCAGCTCACGCACTTCATAATAACTATTATGCCATTCTGTTGCAAGTTTTAAAACCTTAACTATATGTATAGTCAGTGAATAAACATCCATGTTTTGTCACTCTGTAACGACTGGATAGATATGTTTCTTCAGCTGGTCACCTTTTAATTACCACCAAATTAGATTTTCCTTTATGAAGATTAAAGACAGACCCTGTAAACATGCATGATAACTTCTTGTAATCAAATGAAAAGAGAACTGAAAATTGCTTGTATATATCACTTCAGACCTTTTGAATTGGTTATCAGGCCATGCTGGTTCATCCTGACAAGAACATGGGAAATGAGAAGGCTGCAGAAGCTTTTAAGAAACTTCAAAATGCATACGAGGTAAATTTGTTTGCTTGGCCTGGTTTATTGCATGAAATAAAAGCACTTAGCATTGGATTCATGATATGACTATATTGTTCTTATAATGTCTTTTTTAGGTGTTACTTGATTCCTTGAAGCGAAAAGCATATGATGATGAATTGAGAAGGGAAGATTTGCTGAACTATTTCCGTAGTTTCCAAAGCACTTCACAAAAGGTTTGCATACATAATTCATGTTCTTTTTGTTTTGTGCTACTCTTGATAGCTGACCTTGAATTATTCTCCTATGCATCCACTTTGTATTGGTACCGGCTCAGTGGTTTATTTCTTGCCTATTTCATTTTTTTTTGTAGCTTGTTTTGCTTCAAAGCATTGCTGTGTGTTTGAAAAGTCAAAAATCACATCTTTTTTACTTGGACTTGTGTAACTTTCGGCCATTGGTCATTCCACAAATGTAACTGGAAGGGAATAAATATAGTCCATGGTTTTGGAGTTCTCATTGATTGTGAAACCTATGTTGAAAAGAGTGACATATGACACCTTTGGCAAAACCGTCATTCATCTGGCATTTCCTTGTTCCCTATTTGCTCCCATAAGCACATTGAACTGTCTGAAATGTTTTAGAGCATTATATTCTCATATGCTCGGTCCTATGCATTGCAAGGAAGCAATATCTAGATAATCTTTATGCAGCCCTTCACTTGGTCTTGGGCAATAATTTCCTTCTCTGAATTATGCCAATCCGTTCAAATAACCTAGGCTGATAATGTGATTGATTGACCAGAATGGACAGCATGGTCTTTTTGCCTCTGGGTTTGCACGTTCAGAGGTTGATGGTGACGACCCTTTTGGAGAATCAAGGCGAATAGCTTGCAAAAGGTGTGGCAACTTTCATCTTTGGATACATACCAAGAAATCAAAATTGCAAGCAAGATGGTGCCAGGTTTTTTATATCCCCCCTGAACATTTCTTTTCTATTCTCATTTGTTTACAAAAGTTAATATTCAGCTGATTACCATAGTTCCAGACTGGCTCCTTCCAAATGGGATGGTGGTGTTTTTTTTTTTAATTTTGGGCGTTTTACTTTGAAGGACTGCCAAGATTTTCATCAAGCAAAAGATGGAGATGGATGGGTTGAGCAATCTTCACAACCCTTCCTTTTTGGATTACTGCAGAAGGTATGTGCAATTGGTCAGAATTTTGTTTGTGGAAAAGGACAACAGAAAATTCTCTTGTATGTGATATATATAGAAGTGATCATTTTGTTCAGTATATTGGAGTATGATCTGGCTTTCTCACATAAAATTATTTTCAACAGGTTGATGTTCCCACTGCATATGTTTGCGCAGATGGCAAGATATATGATGCCACTGATTGGTATATTTGTCAGGTAAATCAATTTCCTATTGGTATCTGAAAGTTTTGAACATATCTTGAAGACAATTTCTCCTGATATCTTGAACATACTCCTAGTGAGGTTATCTGACAAGGAAATATGAAACAATTTAGGAAAAATTAGTGATCAGGGATGACTGAAGGGTTGCTGGTGTCTGTTGACTTTATTTAGATGCTATTCAACGAATCCAATGGAGCAAGTAACATCAACTTAATTGGAATGGCATGGTAGAATAGGAGAGAATAATTTAGCAGGCATTTGCAACTGCTTGCCCTCCTTCACTAATTTCTTGGTGGTGAGGCTGGGTTATACTATCAACTTCCAGTGATGTGTTTGTTAAACTGTTTGATATTGTTTCTTCAAATGCTGTTTCCACGATCATGAGATTATTTGAATTCAATTTGAAGTTTGCAAAACATAGAAGTGGCATTACTTTTAACGCAAAATGCTTCTATAATCTCTCACATTGGGACTGGGATTGAATGTGCATGATGTTGAATTTGGTGCAGGGAATGAGATGCCCAGCCAACAGTCACAAGCCAAGTTTTCATGTAAACACCAGTGTGACCTCCAAACACAACTCCGGCAAAGGATCAAGTTCAGGACAAAGAAGTGGTCGGATGCCAGCACCCAATATGGAGGAAACCATGACAGAAGAAGAATTCTTTGAGTGGTTACAGAATGCAGTGCAAGCGGGCGTGTTCAACAACCACAGTGCTGGTACCTCTACTGAGAGCCCATCAGCCAAGGCTGGAAATGGTAAGAGCAGTGGAGGTGGCAGTAGTGGTGGCAATAAAAGGAAGAAAAAAGGGAAGAAGCAGTGGTGAAAGTTAGATATTCTTACATCCTTGATACCTCAAGTCTTGTAAGCATTTTGTGACCCTATAAAGAGGGCTAATAGGCTTCATCTTCAAGAGAGATCTGTGATCTTTACTAATTTAAATGAAGGCGTGGGAAAAAGGTTTCAAGTCCATTGAGTTGGATGCCGCTTGAGTAAAAATGGTCCATTGAGTTGGATGCTGCATGAGTAAATTGCTGCGATGTTTGTTTACCTTGGGTTTTCTCTCTGTTAGAAGTCAGATGAGGATCACATCAAACAAATAGACTGCCTGCAAGAATGGCAGAGACACTCAACACAGCTTTTACTACCACTTTACAAGGCTTCAGCTATATGCTCAAGTATTTGTTCGAGTAAACAGGCAGGCTCCAGCGGACGTTGTTAGCGAGTTAATGAAGGGGGTAGATAAAGAAGATGTATTTTCAAAATAAAGGAAAAGGAAAAAGTTTAAATTAGAACAAACCATATCAATATTATTAAGTACCAATTGAAAAAAGTATGTTCATTCGTGCTTCCGTGCTAAGCTATGCCGATTTTCTCTAAATTTTTTCCGTGCTAAGCTATGCCGATTTTCTCTAAAAAAATTTTCTTTTTCTGGTGAGAATGCGTCGGATTAAAGTACTCAACTTTAACACGCACAAACCTTTTTCTACTAGAAATTTTATGAGTTTTATGAGTTTTTGGAGTTTTCCATACAAGATTGTGATGCATTAACTAACTAAATATTTTTTTTAAAGTGTGGTTGAGGTAAAATTGAATCACAGCACTTTACACCCCAAAAGGGAACCGTACTTAGTATTGCCTCGATTTCAATCATAACTTTTCAATTAAACTCCTAATAACCCTTCAAAGACATGTGTCAATTAAACTCTTTATATTAATAATTTAAGCAGATTAATATATTTTTTTAAAATATTTTATATCGACTTGTTTAGATTCACTTGGTTGACAATTAACATTGTTTTTTATTTAAAAAGAGGGGTGAAAAAAAACTGAAGGCCTAGCCGTGTGGGCCTGTTTTAGGCTTATGCCTCTACATTATTTTATAACAAGCCCATAATTTTTTTATTGGTTTTTTTATTATATTATTTTTAATTTTATTATTTAATATTGATTTTTTTTATATATAAATGATTGTTTGTAGAGTTGATTATAGTGAACCTCACTTGTTTCTTCTTCTTTTTTCTTTGATTTCGTAACCCAGTGGATTTCCAAGGCCATTGCTGGATTTGAGCCCAAAATCATTTGAAAAAAAACCATGGATGCCGCTTTTGGGAGATCATTGTCTCCAACTTTCATCGCATCCAATGTCATCCCTGATGTTGAACTGACGGGATATGTTGGAGCAAACCCAAAACTCCAGGTTGCAGCTTCCAAGAAGGTAATGATATTGCCCCAGGTTCATAACAGATTCACTCTATCAAACATTCCATAATATTTTTTTTGGTCCGTAATTGTTGAAGCGTACACGTTCGTGTGTGCTCAGCTTGTTGCAGGCCTTTTGGCTGTGGAGTCTGGCCAAGCAGCAGTCATCCGAGGACGGTTATACGAGTATGCCTTTACCAGGTTGCACCCATACGGGATAGCTGTGTCAGAGTTCACAAATCGCATTTCAGATCCAAGGAACAAGCTTGGGCATGAAGGTATAGAAGATGAATACCTTGTAGTTCCGAAAAAGTTGGGAGCAGAGGATCAAATTGGAGGCAATGTTCTTGCTGGAGATGAGTACTCAGTGGAATATACAAGGACAGCTGAAGAGATACTGAGAGTTGGGTATTGTTGTGGTAATGAAAGTATTACAGGAGGGTTCTACCCAAAGGGAGCTGATGGTCGAATTGCTAAATCCCATCTATAACATTGCTAAAGCTTGCTAGCAGAAATAATAGCGAGTAATTCTGTATTTTCAGCTCTAATTCAATGTCCAGCTTTCAATTTCTTGTTATCACCATAATAAAATTAACTTTAATTGAAAATATATTTGTATTTTTTATTTCCTTTCTGTGTGTGTGGGTGTCTTTGCAATACCACAATAAAATATTTCAAAACATGAAAGGAATAAAAAGGAAAGGATGAAACGAATCCATTTCTGTTTTGTGCAAAAAACAAACGACATTATGGCCTCTTCAGGAACAAAGAGAAGATGTATGAGCAATAATGATAATGTTGTCCATTTCTTCACCACCTAATGAACAATTCCTGAAAGTGATCAGATACAGAGTGCAAAACACTAAACAAAATTACTGGAAATGACCTACTAGTTCAAAGATATGGTTCCATAATGATCAACTAATCAATTCAGAAATCCACTCTACTAACCAGCATGCAAGAGATCTCAAGTTCTATTATACCAGCAGCCCTCAATTATTGGCCTTGATGCTGCCACCGCACCCACAATGTGATGTGGACTAAAGTTTGATGTCTGCTTTGGCATAAATGATTTCTTAGGTGGTGTTGTAACATATTGTAGCAAGCGTCAGGTTAGTAACCATGCTATTGCAGAACAGGTACCAAAGAGTTCTTGAGGGGTTATTTGACAAGTACCTGATGACAGAAAAAAGCAAGCAGATGTCCTTTTGCCTTCCCCAAAATTGAGTGCTAAAGGTTGACCACCAGTTGCTACTAAATTCAAGTAATATACAATACAAGATACAAGCCCAGATTTCATGGAAATGCCCATCCTCTACTTTAATTTAGGAGTATCCCAGTTAAGTTACTTCAGCCACAAGGTTGAAGGACAAGCAAGTGCTCAGATGCTCTGCCATGGCCATGGGTGACTGAGCCCAGCATCTTACATTCTCTTGTTCAGCTTGTTGCGTTCATACCACATATATCACCTAGAAATTCACAAAATTTATCAGCATCATCATCATGTAACTTTCCCATTAGCCAGAATATTATCCACAATGTGAATCGGTCCCAGATGACCTAGTTTGCTGAACAAGCCACGGACTAAAGCATTCCATGTGGCACGATTGGGGCATATGCCTTCATTTATCATCTTATCAAGATGGACGACGGCTTCATCTACCCCAATCCAATTACAGACCCCCCATAAAAGACTAGTGTATGTAAATACATCTGGATACCCTTCTCCCTTGTTACTTAATCTATCTACAAGCTGGATGGCAGTCTTTACCTCGCCTTGCTTACAGTATGCATAAATTACTGTGTTATATGTGATGGAATCAGGCTTGGTGCCCCCCACAAGGAGCTTCCCAGCAATCTGCAAGGCACCCTTAAACATTCCAGCATGACAAAATCCAGACAAAATGGTATTGTAAGTCACTAAATTTGACTTGATCTCCATTTCTTCTATCTCTCCAACTATCTGAAGAGCTTCTCTTGTTCTTTTTGCATTGAAAAGACCATCCAAAAGTTCGTTATATGTTGTGACATTAGGTGCACACCCATATTGACGCATTTGATTGAGCACTTTCATTGCCCACTCTGTTTTTCCACTGCAACATAAACCTTTGATAAAAGTATTGAATGTAATTGTATTTGGGGGACAATTTCCATTCACCATATTCTCTATAAGATGATGAGCGTGGTTGAACATAGAATTCCTGCAGAGCACATCCACCATACAAGTATACACCACAACATTAGGAAGGCAACCATTAGTTATCATCTTGTTCCATATCTCAGATGCACCAACCAAGTCACCAGCTTTTGCAAAGCCATCAACGAGAGTACTATATGTGGTCTCATTTGGGAAGACCCCGTTTCTCTCCATTTTTTGAGAAACAGATACAGCTTCTACCATTTTTCCATAGCTACAGAGACCATGTATCAGAGTGTTATATGCAACGGTGTTGGGTTGTGATCCGTCTTGGATCATTCGATTCCATAAATCCAGTGCTTCACACAATCTCCCCCCCATGAAATATCCTTTCATCAAGGAAGTAAAAGTGTGAACATTAGGACTACAACCTCTCAAAAACATCTTTGCCAGAACAGCAAGAGCCAATTCAACATTCCCCATCTCTGAAAGTGTATTAATAACCGTAGAGTAAGTAATGACGTCAGGATCAATTCCCTCAACAACCATTTCATTAAATAACTCAAACACCTCTTCCATCTTACGTTCTCTACAAAACCCATTAATCAAAGCATTATAAACAGGCACAAATGATTTAATCCTCATCGATAGCTCCCTAGCCTCCTCCACTTTACCAAGCCTACACATAGAAGATACCACAGTTGTATAGCTAACCGCATCAGGAATACACCCTTTATACGACATTTCTGCAAGTAATTTCCTGGCTGCATCCACCCTATTATTCTTACACAATGCCTTCAAAAGCATATTATAAGTATAAACATTCAGTTCAATCCCATCTCTCTTCATATTATTATATATCCCATTAATCATTTGAAACTTATTTTCACTAAGCAACGCATCTAAAACATGATTATAAATCTTCACACTCGGTTTGCAACCAAATTCACCAATCCTATAAAAAGTTTTCAGCGCTTGTTCAGCTAGCCCAGCTCGACGATACGCATTAATGACAATAACAAACAAATCTTCATTACAACTAATTCCCTCTAACTTCATTAGCTGCAAAAGGTATTGAATACCATCTATATCGCGCTCATAACCAAGTCTTTTGATCATGGTTGTGTATGTTAATGGGGTGTGTTTGAAGGAATTTGAATTGGCTATTGACTTGAAGAAATGTAAAGCTAATAGAATATTGGGTTCGTTCTTTAACTTGTTTAAAACATCAGATTCTTTGAGAAGGTTTTGATCTTTTTGTTCATTTTGAAGTGGGTTTATAGTGTTTAGTACAAAGGGGACCAAAGGTTTTTGCTTTTTTAACAATAAAGAACATCCTTCTTTCAAATACATAGTAGAAACTTAACTCAAAAGGAAGTTAACAAATCAAGAAGAAAGGGCAGACTATTGATTCAAATCAATAAAAGCTTAAAAACCCATTGAATAGTTGGAGGAAAAAAGCATACCTCAATGCGACAAGGGAGGATTGTTCAGACTTGAGCCGAAGGTGCACGCGAGGAGCATTTGCTGTTTATGTGATTCTTCCTGTTGTTAAAGCGGTGTCGTTTAGAGTAACCATAAAATTAAAAAGGGACTGGAAGTTAAACTATGTGATTCTTCCTGTTATTAACGCGGTGTCGTTTAGAGTAACCTAAAAATTAAAAAGGGACTGGAAGTTAAACCTTGTTAGTATTGGGAAATATTTGAAAGTATAGACTATTCGAAGGACGAGATTGAATATTAACAAAGTTATACAAACTGGGCTTTGTAGAATTTAATAAAACAACCGATCGAAAACAAGAAGATAGTTTACTGAAGCAACAGTGCATAGAAAGGTTCGGATTCTCTTTTATCTGTCCGTCGCCCCGTCCCTCTCGCCCTCTTCTCATGATTTGAATTTTGTTTTAGATAGATTTTAATTAACAGATCTGTCGATTATGATAAACTCTATATTTATGCTTGCTTAGATTTAAATTTGTCAGCGAATTCTTCGGTTTCGATTTCTAACAAATTTTAATGTTGTTACTTTGGTTTTATAGGCAACCCAGTTCGTTTTTATTTTTCTTTGTTATCTCCAAATTTTGTTTTTTTAAAATTAAACTCGGAAGGATCTCTTGATTAGTTAAGCACCCATTCCTTTGTTGATGAAGAGTTGAGAATGTGTAATTAATTTTAATACAAAACTCATGCTAAGTTCCTCTATTTTGGGTTACTCTTCTGTTTGTAGATTTATCAGATTATCTAAAGGCTGAAGCGATGGCTGGACATAATGAGTCTGAGAAGAAATCAAGTGATGCCGTGAATGATTTGCAAACATTCAGAGCTGAAAATTTGCAAAGTAACATGAAAGTTATATATTACAGGTTTGTTTCATTAACCTAAAAGATTCATGGAGCCATTATAGTGAATTTTATGCTAAAGCTTTGTGTTTGAATATGTGAATGTTAGTGCCTCTGAAAGTTTTAGCTCATGTTAGGTTTGTAATTATTCGTAGGAATTTTGGCTGTGTGATTTTCAGTTGATGGATTGTGTGTGACTTATAGCAAAACCAGCATGTTCTAATTCGAAAGAACTAAATAGAAAGTTGAGTTGATGACTTGATTTCCTAAAGAAAAATGCTTAATGTTACCAAATTCGCCGAGTACAGGACATAATGGCATAACAATATATGACAGAGAATGTATTTCAGAATTGATATGGGCAAGGTTGAACTTGTTATTTGGTTTCCAAACACCCAGGTAAGATTTAGAAGATTGAGAAGTAGTTGAGAGTTGAAACCTTTATGTGAAGAATTATTGAGCAGTATGCAATTTTGTTACAAGGTATAAACTGTAGTTTGGGGTCTCTTGTGTGTTTATAACAGCACCTGAGCTTCTTTTTTTTCCATGCAGCCGAACATTTCTGTCTATCATTGGTGGGGTAATTGCTGGAATATTGGGACTCACTGGCTTGACTGGATTTGTCTTTTATTTTCTTATGATGACAATCACTTCAGTTGCACTCATAGCTAAGGCAAAGTTTTCCATTCATACATACTTTGACTCCTGGAACAGGGTTTTACTTGATGGCTTTTTGGGTGGGCTTATGGTATGTTTCTCTGATATTTATTGATACTTATTCTTTCTTTCCCTTTCTGATTTCTCTGTACGCAAGATTCCACTCTTTCATAGCGTTCCTTTTCTGTACACTTTGAGAAGTAAAATTATTCTGCTTTTATTTGTTTACCCTCATTCATATATGAGATGAGTGGTAGACTGACAGTGTTTTTATGTTTTATGCAGTCGTTCGTGCTGTTCTGGACGTATCCTTTGTCATTAATTAAGATATTTCAGAGCCCACATACTTTAAAAACTATAATTGCAATAATCAATTGTGTTAGTCATTTTATATTTGATCAAGGATTACATGATTTTCCTCAACATAAGCATTATCAGGGACCTTGCATTTCCCCTGGACTAATTGATCAAGGACCTGTTTTTCCTGGTTGTTTTGTGATGTGATGCGATGCGATGCG